ATTTTTTTGGCGAAAGTCGAAACTAGGTTTCGCCTTTCGCCAATGGCGAAACCTCTAGGTTTCGCCTAACAACTATATTCTGAACCTAAATCAGATCGTAGAGTAAGATTTGAAAAGCTTTCCCTCAGCTCCGGCCAATGATAATTTATATTTAAAATTTAACCAAGAATAATAATATAGCAGATTGACAGTGCGCAGGATCGATTTTCCGGTCATGGAAAATTTCCGATCCAAACTAGAAACATAAAAATTTAGTTTAGGGTTAGAATAGGGTTAGGGTGAGAGTTATAAGGCATATTAGTAAATTGCATGAGGAAAACTTTTAATTAGAACGCGAAAGATGGTTAATTATACAAAATATTGAGATACCAGGAATTTTTCAAAACGAGTTTTTTGTTTTGAAGTTTTGGCGTTACACCTGATCTTTATTTTTATTGGCTAATTTAGGGTCGGAAGTTGCGTGACTGAAAAATCGATCCTACATGTTGGAATGAAACTAACACGATCCTAATTTCTAAAATCTTTATTTTTAAATTAGGTTTGTATGACTCTAAACATTTTAAATAAACCAACTAATTAATGTATGAAAATTAAATTACGATCTTTAAATGATACAAATAACGAATGAGAAGATTAAGATGACAAATGAAACCATACAAATTGACAGGAAACGAGATTACACACTGAATAAATGATCCTACATAAAAGCAAAGAAGGTTCTTGGTAGTAATGTAAGAATAGAATAAAAACGGATATTCAGATGAAATAAATAACAGAATGACTTACTGATATTATATGTAGGAAATGATTTAATATATAATTTAAACGAGAAATGATTATTAAAAAAAAAAAAAAATTGATGTATTCACAAAAATTCGAAACTTTGAACTTTTTTTTCGTTGCTGCGATAGAATGAGAAAAAAAAATTGAAAAAAAACTTAAATTTGCGTATAATAAAATTACACTAAGCTATAGAGCGATTTCTCTATGAATGGTTTATTTGTATTGTTTTTGTTCTTTAAAATCTTTTAAAATCCCAATTACATATTATTGGTAAAATAAATAAAAGTAATTTAATTCTACACTTGTTGTTCGTCAATTAACATTAACTTATTATAAACCTCAAGATTCTTTAATTATTAACTATGTTAAATTTGCGATGAAACCAAATTCTTTAACAATTCCCAACTGTTGATAATTTCTACAAACTTTTTTAACATTACCAACACATTCCACATACGTATCCCAATGAAAACTAATTTGTTTCCCGGAATTCCTTCTTGTATTAAAAAAGAAATCCACAGTTTGTTCGTATACTAAACATTTACCACTAATTTTTAAAACTTCCAAATCAGGTGCAGAACTAACAGATAATTGTGTCAATAAGAAATCAAACGTTGGTCGATAATCTTCTATACCCATTAAATATATATGTAAAGTTCTTAATTTTGTACACGAACGAAGTAATTCACCTAATTGATCAACATCATTCTCCATCATTGGACCTTCATAAACCTCAAGATTTGGACAATTTTTGGCAATCGAAGTAATGAATTGTCTTGTATCAAGAAGTACCAAATTTAATAAACCAGTTAAAAAGGTAATATGTCGTAGTTCACCAGCAGTATTTTCTACAAACTGAGCAAATAAATCTAAAAATTCAAGAGGTTGACATAATTGAGTTTGAAAGTAAAAAGTTTTTAAAGATTTAAGAGGAAGTCGAGCTAATGGTTCCCAACCCTCTCTAGAAAAAATATGATCAAAAGATCTTAAATATAATTCCTCTAAATTTGCAAAGTTTACTAAAAAATCAAGAGGGAAACAAATATTTTCTACTGATAATCTAATTATTGATTTTGATTTTTCTGAAATTGCACAACTAAATTCGTTAGTTGTCCAATCAGAAAAAGAATTAAGTCTTTCACAAGATATAGTAGCATCATTTAAACTTTTTTGAACATCAATGAAATTAATAAAATTATCAGTTGGTCGATAACCATAAATTCCCAATTGCCTTATATTTTGACATTTTGAAGTAAGAGATGAGAAAATTCTAGGCATTATATGATTACTTCCACTATACATGAAATCTTTGAGGTATATAAGACAATCAATATTATCGGTAGTATTTTCAAGAACACTAGCCAAAATTTCAAGACATTCACTCATTTCACCATCACAGTATCTTAGATCCAAACTACGTAAACTTGTTGATCTAGTGAGTAAAAGTTTTATAACATGTTCAATAATAAGATTATGAATTATTTTCTTAGAGCCTTGATGAATGGTACCATTTTTAACTGAACGATCAATCCAGTATTTAACGGAATAACCAAAAGAAGTTAATTTTAAATGTTTCAAAAAACTAGCATAATCAAAAGCAGAATTTCTTTGAGTTGCTTTAATATTTTGTTGAACTTTTGTTATAGATTCTTTTGAATTTTGAGGTAAATTAGAAATATAAGCGTTAATAAGTAATTCTCTACGCCTTGCTAAATCGGAATTATCAGAACCACGATAATTTCTGATCAACCAAGGATTACTCCATAATATTGGCATCGACGCCTTACACCAAGTTCTGTTGACAAGAGCACAAGGATATAATATAGCAATATCATCAGCAGTTTGCCTGAGATAGTTGAATATATGAGAAAGACAATCTTCGTTTAATTCAGGAGCCATTATATAGTTAAAGTAATAAATAAAAATGTCTCTTATTTAGCAGAAGTTTGTCTAGAACGAATTTAAAATTCGGGATAGGATTAGGCAAGGAGTTTGTATTGTGGACTGGGTAACTAGGTCCTGTAACATAAAAACTTCGTTAATTTATACATACTTAGTATTTGTAGTGGACTACGCCGCAATAGAGATTAGTTGAGAAAAAGAATTGATTGCCTTTGTACGTTATTATTGATGTAATTTATACGCATTACAAATCAGGTACTACGTTACAATTACTATCGACAATCGTTATGATTATTCAAATTATTCATGTGAATTGTGTGTAATGTTAATAATTTGTCAATGTAATTTCTATGTTAAGCATTAAGAATATTCAAGAAACTGCAATCTAAGATTTATACCAGAAAAAAAAATATATAATAAAATAATAAATATCTTACGTACAACACTTTATTAAAAGTAATAATAATTTATTCGACTCCAATTTTTAACCAATACGAGAAGTGATAAAATTATATCCAATGCACCGAAAGTCGGACCTGAGTAAACTTTGCTAAAAATGTCAAAGCTAATCTTGAATAAAGTTCTGATAAAAATGCACACAATATCATTCTATAATTCTGAATTGACATCATTCGAAATTAGTACGTATAAAAAAAAAAAAAAATTCTTTTTATATCCTTTTTCTTTTTTTTTTTTGTTTTTTTCTGTGCTTTTTTCCTTTTTAGTCAAAAATGTTACTTGATATTAATTACGTATTTAAGAATATGTACTCGCCTTAGTGATTTAGATAGGTCAAATGACATTTTTTTATTAATAAAGAAATAATAAAGAATGACTACGTACGAATTCATAACTGGTTTTAATACATAAAACGATTAATTTGATAAATTACAGTACAGTATATCGTTTTTTTTCTCTGCTTGCTTTTTCTTTCGTGTTTTTGATTTTATATAATTTAATATTTAAATTCTTTTTCTTCGTTGCCGAATAATTCTCGTTTAATTTTGAATTTTCTAACAGATTCAGGATTGGTCATAATTAATTTTAAAACGGAAAAATTACTACGTAATTTGTTCATCGATAAAGATTTAAAATCTATGTACTGTATGTACAACAAGCAGGACCATAGTAATTTGCCGGCCATGCATAAGTTCCGTTCTTGATCTATAATATATTTAGAATTTAATTGGCTAAAATAACAATTCAATGCATGATTAGTGTTATGAATAACAAAAGTTGTTAGTTTATATACGTACGTACTAATTTTGATGAATCAAAAAAGACACTTTAAACAATAACCATGACGCAGTAAATGGCCAGCAAATTTAATATAGTCGTTTAAGCCCTGACAACAAATTGTTAAAGCACTAGATATTATCGTTATTTATTATTTAAGTACGACCCAATGAATGAAAATTTTCGAGCCAATCTAACGTAATAGATTATGTTTCAATTAAATATTACATGTTTACGAATTAAATAACATAATTATCAAAGCATAAAGATTAAAAATCCATCCGAATACCATTCAGAAACCAATTTGGTCCACATTTTATAGATACATAATTTGTTTAGTTAATATGTCATTAAAAAAAAAAAAAGATTGTTGAAAGCATATTTTATGAGAATAAATAAAACATCTGTGATATTCCTTATATAATATTTTCAATTTTTTTTCATTATTTAGCCGACTTGAAATTAAAACATCGTTTAACGTTATTTTTTTAAAAAATTTGCATGCGGGGAGGGGAAAAATTAAGCTAGGTTCAAGTGAACCAAACCTAGGTTCATCGGAACCTAAATCAGGTTGAAGTTGAACCTAAAGATGATTAACCAAATTTTTTTTTTTTAATTTTATTAATTGAATTTTTGGGAGGAGACTTGTAAGTGGATAACGTTAAACGAGGTTTTAATTTCAAGTCGCCTTAGGGCCAATTGTTTAAATCATTTGATAAAAATTTTGTCATGAGAATTTTTTTTTTTTGAATAAGAATTGTAACGAATTGTGCAACAAAAATTAGAGCAGAGCAACTGCTCAAGAGTATAAATACAATAAAATTTAAATTGGTCAATACTAGAGTTGCCTGCTGCAAAGTCGCAATTTTACATCTTTTCTGCAACCTTTGCGACACCCTTTTTGCTGCAAAAAAAAAAAATCAAATATTTATATATATTATATATATATATACGTATATATATATATAAGATCGAAGAGTCGCAAGATTGGAAATCTATGTACTGTAATTCTGTATTAATAAAATGAATAATGTTATATATGTAATGTATAATTTAAATTTAACTATATCATACTATATTATAAAATATAGTATATTATAATATTACATTACAGCATTACGATATTATATTTTATTAGACTTTGCTACATTATGACATTTTTATAATTTGCAAAGACTATTAATTTTTAAATATAAAATTTAGCGATAGGTCGCAACCTTAGTTGCGCCTTAAAAAAGTTGCAATTAAGATTTACAGCAAGCAACACGTAATCAATGCAAATCGGAAATTTTTATACATTATAAACTTATCTGAAACAAATATAACTACGTACGTAAATAATTTACAAACTCTGCATGTATAAATTTAAATCGATAAATTGTAGCAAGCTCTACTGGTATTTGCTGATAGCTAAATTAGTCATTGGAACTCGAAGAACAATGAGATTTCTATATACTCTAATTAAAATGGCGTATTCTGATAACATCTTACATGTGACTATACAGACTTTATTAAGGAACACGATTCCAGATTAATTAATATTAAAAGTATTTTAGAAATCATTTACTAAATACGTGTAATTGTTATCGGGAAAAAAATCGAATAAAGCAGTTCATTGTTAAATTTCTGTATTTATTTTATTGCTAGAATTAGACAAAATAACAATGAATAGAACGTTAATGTTCAAGTATTAGGCATTGAAACTAGGGATGGTAAAAAAACAGTTTAAAACACTTTTTCACCTGTTTAAAACATGTGATGATTAAAGTCTGAATACTGGATCAAATTATGATCACCTGTTTTTTAATTTATCATTACCTGTTTTTAATTACGTAATAAAAAACTTTTGCCATCCCTAATTGAAACGAAATGCATACGTACAAACAACAATGCAAATAATAAATTTATGCGTTTTATTAAAAGTTACTTGTACGCACGTATTACTGTATTAGAATTATTGAAGAGTTTGATAAGTGAGAGTTTAAAAAATCTTAAACCTTTTTTTAAATTCCGAAATCGGAATGTTAAATAGGAACCTTTGTTAAAGAAATAGGATTAGTAGATGTCTCAACTCGAAATAAATACTTTGATTATTTCATCTGAAATCAGACGCCGAATCATTAATTTTGAAATCCCTTAATATAATAAGTATCTTAAAATACTCATAAAATTAATTACAAAATTTCTAAATGCATTTAAGACAGGTTATTTCAGTAAAAAAAAACGTTATCTATTGAAAAACTATGAACTGATGTCACATGAGTGCCATTTTACCCCTGTAGCTTTTTGTACGTGTCTTTCTGCCCCCGTATTCCCATTTTTGTGGAACTACTATCTTTATTATCTCAGTGCTTCTCTTTGCATAAATTATTTTTAATGTTTAATATTCTGTATTACCTTATTCTGTTGTTCATTCGTATTTCCTATTTATATTTTGTACTTATCATGTTATTACCTTATGTAATTATTTATTATTAGCCTTTAATATGATGTTGGAACTATGACGTGTACTGTGCAGTAAATACGTGCATATAAGATTGTGACTCGTGAGTAGTGTTGTACCCGAACATTGTCTCGTCAATAATGTAGGGACATGGACAGTTCATGACAATGTCTTATGTCCGCGATGATGTTTTTTAGTACACAGACAATGTCTCACCACTTTAATTTTATGTCCTTAGTATTAGAAGTTAAAATAGACTTGTAAGGGTTGTCTTGGATATTTGTTATTTGAAAGAAGAATGTTGTTATAGTAATGATGTCATTAAGTTCTTATTTAGATTTTGTAATCCAAAGAGTATCATTTATCTAGGCTAATATAGAAGCATTAGTATAGATTGAATTTTGTTTATTAGATATTCTCTAAACATATTGTAATTATTTAATATTCTTTAATTAAATTAGCAATTTTAAAAATAAGTAAGTTATAACAAATCTTTCAAAAAAAGTTATAATTTTTTTTTGGTTAATATGAACTAGCTCATTACAAATCTATTTACTCAATTAGCTTAGGTTTTTTTATGTTATATTATATCTAACATATTGTAGATATTGTAGAGCTAGTTAACCTTGAAGCAAATCTATTAGAGTAGTTTATATCTATGTTATAAGTTTACTTAGATTAAACCTTTATAGTATTTATACAACTTCAACTATAGTTTTTTATACTTTTACTAATATTTTATACTCACTAAATAGTTGGATTCTTCTAAATCTAATTAGTTATTTAGCTAAGTTAGTATTACTAATTAGCAGATTAGACTTGTATCTAAGTTTTTTTTTCAAATTCTAGATTTTACTAATATAATAGAAAAATTAATTTTTATATTATAAATTTTATAATAAATTATAAAAAAATACAAATTTTAAAAAGCTATTCTATAAGATTTTATTAAGATAATTGCTTTTATATTTTAAGTAAAAAATAATTTTGATCTTATTTTAAATTAATTTATACAAAAAAATAGATTTTAATAAATTTGTTAATTTTTTCTTTTTTATAGTAACAAACTTATATATATATATATTTTAATATTAAGGTAAAGTTTTGTTTTTATCTTTATTAAAATTTTTATAAAATTCTACAAAGAGTTTCTCAAAATTTACAAATTTGTTTACAAAAATTAAAACTCAGACTATAAATAGTAAACTATTTAATTTATCTGTAATCTAAATCTACTAAAGTAGTTAAAAATTCATTTAGATTTAAATATTTATAATAGTATTAGATAGGTAACTGTATTTAGCTTACAAAGTAGACT